TTTTTTTTTTTTTTTTTTTTTTTTTTGATAAATGAAATTTTATGTCTAAAAAAAAATTATTATTAATTGATTTATTCAATTCCCACTATAAATTCACTCTCTCGGTATATATATATATCTTGCTCAAATTTTCAATCGTTAATAAAACACTTTTTATTCATTCACTCAAGTTCAAATACATTATTTGAACTTGAAGTGGCTGACACTTAATGTTAATATAGTCTTTTCGAATATTAATTCATTAATTTAATTAATGAATAAAAAGAAACAAACAAAACGCGAATAGTCTAACACCCTATATAAAACGGAAAATCACTCTTTGTGTCCCTGTAGCGCAATGGATAGCGCGTTGGACTTCTAATCCAGAGGCTGTGGGTTAAAATCCCACCTGAGGTGGCCTAATTTCTGAGAATGTTAATTCTTTTTACTATACTATTTTACTGGAATAATTAAATTTAATGAATGAATAAATAGTAACAATAGTGTCCAACATCCTGTATTGAAAGGAAAATGGAAAATTGCACTGATAATCACTTTCTATTTTTCCATTTAATAGTGTGATTCTGTTATATGTATATACATATTTATATTAATTGTAATTATTTAATAAAAAGTAGTTAAAATAAAAAAATTTGTTGTTAAACTAAGTAGGAATTGTGTGAGACTTAAGATTTTTATTTTATATTACTTATTTATATTTTATAACTTTATATGAATATTTTCAGTACCTGAAAATTTTAAGGAGGTTCTGGAATTCTACACAAGACAAGGTTTCCGAGTTATTGGGGTAGGCTCTAGACATCTGGATCCCCAAATTTCCTGGGATGAAGTACTGAAAATGCCAAGGTACCTGATAAACTCGCAAACTTATTAAGTATCATATTTGTCCTAAAGAAACTCAGGTTAAATCGAAATTTCATTGTATAGAAATCTGTGTTTCAATGAATGTGGATTAGTGGATGCTTATAAATTAAACTATCCAATGTTCTTATAAATCGTATAGTTTTCCTGTTGTGTACAAACTCGATTATGAAGTACAATTAGTGAAATTTTCAACAACACATATTTTTAACATGGAAGACACTGAAATTAAAAACAGGGCAGTAGCGTAGCTACCAATTGGCTAGGTGGTGCCGTGCTCCTGGGCTTTTAAGCTTGGTGGACTCTGACCACCAAGCAAGCTGAACTTTCAATAATTTCTCCCACATTGAAGATATAAATATAAAAGGTTTCAACACATAATATCAAGGCAACTCACTTGAAAATAATTTCGAGATATAGAGAATTCCCCCTAAATTCTTTCCTCTGTTTGTATAAAGTTAGAAGTTTATATTATTTTTCAATTTTTTTTTCTTTTCATTTTTCTAACTGTTACTCGAAAATAAACTTCAAGTTTCACGAAAAATCTTACCATACATCTTAAAAAGCTTACACAGGAAGCTATTTCTTCTTTGACATTTTATTTTTAATAACAATATATGTGTTGTTGTTGTGACTAATGCCACCTGCCTGACGAAGCCAGATCGAGGCCCGCGGAATTCATCGCCACTAGGGGCTAGAATTTTTACGCCTGTCGTTAGCCTTAGCTTTGAGCACATAATAATGATTCATAATAAGCTATTTTCCTGTTTCAGTATTTCTTAATCTAGTATCTACAACAGACTGATGTAACTTTGTCTTCCTTTCTTTTGTCCTCTATTCTTTCCCAGGGGTGTTTTTTTTTTAAAAAAAATAATTATAATAATATGGAATTTTATTTTCTCATTCATGCATATTTTTTGTATCATTTCTTGTCTATCACATGTCAAATCGAGAGAACCGGGGTAATCACTAAAGTTCACAGAAGAAAACTTATACACATACATGTAAGTAGTATGTAGCTTTGCTTTCCTGTTTTGCAGAGCATGATAAAGGGCTGATGTTAAAGCAGCTTTGTATATTTAAAATACTAATATATTTTTACTTTTTTTTTTACTTGATAAAACCCAACCAAGATAGAGCCTCGTTTTTCTTTCCTTTTTTTTTGCACCAGGGTCTTTGGATACCTAGCTACGCCACTGAAACAGAACAAATGAATAAGTTGAGTTGCGAGTTTTGGGCTAGTTTATGGGGTTGAAAAGAGATTAACTCGGTTATAAAAAAAAACACTAAGCATTCCAACATGCATAACACTTCCAGCATGCTTCAAGGTGAAGAAAAATTATGAGAAAAATTGAGACAGTAATGTTTAAAATCTATTTAATTTGAAAGAAATCACAAAACAACTTTTTCAAATAACCAAAATTGTGTTAATAAGTAACCCCCCAGAGAGCATTTCTTTATTTAATCATATAGTGTGTTGGACGTTAAAGGTAGTAAATTCGGGGCTGGGTTCAATAAAGTCTCTCTTTAGTGTAACAGTTATTTATTAATTTAAGTTTGATTACACAAAAACAGCAGATATCATTCACAAAAGTATTGGGCAAAGAACAGGGGTGGTGTTTCATAGTGACCACATTTTTTTCTCATCTGGCCTCTACTGAAAATATGTAGTTGTTAGCGGTCGCTTCTGCTGATTGGCTAGTAACAATTATTATGAAAAGAGCAGTTACAGTTGGAATTAAATCAGTATCAGTATATAAATTACCAGAAGTATCAAGTTATTCTAAAATTCTACAAGAACAATATGAAGGATTTAAAAAAGAAATTTCAAAGCTCACTAAAAACCAATTTTTAATCAGATGTATTATTTTTATTTCAGAGAAGAATTAGAATGTAATTTGGAGTTTCAAGGTCTTGTGGTGTTGCAAAACCGTCTGAAACCGGAAACCGTTCCAACCCTGAACATTCTGAAGGAAGCAGATATAAGGACAGTGATGGTTACAGGTACGTCATCGAAAAGCACATCATTTCTCACTATTGAAATCGAAGAAAATAACTGTCAAATTAATTTTCTTGCTTTTCGAACTAAAGACACTTTCCATCCTTACATTTCCTAAAAATACTTCTTTTTTATCGCAATGTGTTTGTTCTTTTGGAATTTTCATGTGTAGCCATTTTGTACTGCAGGTGATAATCTTCTGACTGCTATCACTGTGGCTCGTGAATGTGGCATGGTAGAGGAGTGCGATTCGGTCATTTCGGTAGAAGCTCGCCTCATAGCTGCCGACCCCACTGTTCCGGGTTCCAAGATGCGACTCCAGGTGCACTACGATTATGCCAAATTGCCAGGATTCAGTGAGAAGCTCAGCATTGGACAAAATGGTATGGTCGACGTAAGTAAGAATTTCATTCCATCTTTTGTACAGGTCATTACTACTCTCTTAATTGCATCATTTTTCTTAAATATTATATTGAGATCCCGGTGTGAGTAGATGTTTCTTACCTTTTAATCAGCCAATATTTTATTTAAAAAAATGGCTCTTTGTAGATCAAGAAATAGAAAATTGTATGATATTTGTATGCGTGGTCGTTAATAGCCTTCAGAAAATGTTCCTGTGATAATATCTGCAACGAATTAAAAAAAAGTTTAACAGTAAATTTTTTGGAATGTTTTGCTAAACATCAAAAACTATTTAAGGCTGTTCTTGACTCTAAAGGATTTTAGATCCTGAATCAAACACTGAGGATATTTTCAAACCGTATAATCTTAATTTTCATTCAAGTCAATAATATGGCGGAACATACTAGCATGCAAAACCTTTCGACATACAACCATGAAATGGTTGAAAAGGTCTTTTTGTGACCAGTGCCTCGAAAAGGCGGCACACGTTCAGATATCAGCTCTAATACATCAGATGGGACATCACAATTCGCAAACACGTGGAATAAACATGGTCAGTGCCAAGGGAACTTAAGAAAAGGGAGGAAGAAGGCATTTCCATGCCAATGTAAATAAAATTCTACATTCATAATGGCTACAAGAAACCATCAAGATGCTTTTAAACGTGGTAGAATGATCGATAAGCTTAAAGAGGAGAGTATAGTTTGACGAGTATTTTACTAGAGTGTGGAATTACAAAAGTCAATCATTTCAAACGCTTGGAGAGAATTCCAAATGACGGGTATTTGCAAGTAACTCATGTAAAAATGGCATAATAGTAAAAAAAAGAAGAAAAAAAAAAAACACATATCTGTACAGGTTATTTACATTAATAACACTGCCTTGTTTTTGGTCTTCTTTGTACAATATGTAAGCCATTACATAAATATTTGTCATGCTAATAGATGATAATCATAGTATGATAAAAACAAATTAATAAATGCGTAAACTATATTAAAGCCCGAAGGATATACGATGTATGAGGCATTAAGGTATGGAGAAAAAATTATGATAGATTAGAATTAAGAATTCCTTAAGAGCTTTTAATTTCCGTCCGAGTTTTTTAGCATATGAAGGAAAAGAACGGGAAAAAGCAGTCTTAAGCACATTGAATGCGTGAGTTTCGCGAATTGTATTTCAAAAATTTATTATTCTTTATAAAAGTTTTCAAATACCTTTATATGTTATGATTAAAAGACATAAAATTTATTATTTTGAATTGCGTTAATCTTCTAGGTTTATTATTTTATATTTTTATCCAACGCCTGTGTTTGGCTTCTTGACCATTTGACACCGAACCTCCCAGTACCGACTGACGACGTCGTCAGTCGGGTATTTATCGAGTCCAGTGCATTGGAGCAGGTGGTCGCCATCCATCTTGGCATGGCCGCAGAGCGGGAAGGCCTCGTCAGTAGCCAGTGGAAATATACTCCCAAAAAGTCATGTCCGGTGGTTAGCCGAAAGCGAGCAAAAGCCTTGGCACATTCCAGGTGCCCCGGGATAGGATCTACAGTGACCATGGTTTCCCATGGCTTTCCAAGGCTCTTGGGTTTATATGTCACGGCAGTACATTTGTGAACCGGACATGACTTTTTGGGAGTATACTTCCACTGGCTACTAACGAGGCCTTCCCGCTCTGCGGCCATGCCAAGATGGATGGCGACCACCTGCTGCAATGCACTGGACTCGATGAATACCCGACTGACGACGTCATCAGTCGGTACTGAGAGGCTAGTCAAATGGTCAAGAAGCCATGGACGGGCGTTGGATAAAAAAATTAAATAATAAACCTAGAAGATATACACAATTCAAAATAATAAATTTATGTGGATATAATGCTCTTTGCTCTTCTGAGGGTCAAAGGGACTTCCGGTTGAGACGACTCGGCTCAGTTCCTTGCTTGGCTTTTTGGTCGGCTCTCTCATTGCCGGGGATCCCAAAATGACTTGGGATCCACTGAAAAGTCACAGTCCAGCCATATGACATGAGCTCTGCAATTTTAGTTCGCACTGAATTGTGTTTAGGCAATCAGTTGGTGTGTTACTGCTTGAGGCTGAAATTACAGTTTGGGAGTTCAAGGTTTATACTCTCTGCA